GACTCCACCTAACCTAAACTAATGTGTCCTAACTTTATCAAACCTAATCTGTTCCAACAAAAACAACCTTTGCATAAACGAACACTTCGTCTGATTCCCACTTACATCAATACAAACCACAACAACTACGGTAAATATTCAAAGAACCCATACCAATGGCAGACAATGGTAACTTTAAACAAACAAATTCAGACATAGGTAGCTCCCACTTTGAGGACATCGCAGCATCCCAGTGCCCACCTCACGCCTATCATCTTCAGTCGTTTTATCACCGCTCGTAGTACGATTTTGAGGTCGTGCAGAATGGCAGAATCCCCACGTCATAGTTTATCCCAATCCGTCCAATGGTTTTCGAGAAGAATCAGCTGGACAGACGGGCGGATAGAAACGACCAGTCCATAATGTTTTCTCCCTATGCAAAGCACGCACAAAAAGAGAGAAGAGGACAGCCCAGAGATTGATCTAGCCTCAGACTTGGACAGCTTAAAGATGGGCCTCAACGGATGGTTATCTCTCCTCTTCTATATTCTTTACCTGAAGATGGAAACAAAATCGAATTTCCGAGATGTAATTTCATAATTTTATAATTTAGAAGTCAAGAAACTATTTTACTTATTATGGGGTGACATCGCTAGAAATATTTAAACGTCGACTACAACCGTACTTCTCTTTACGCCTTAATGGCAAGAACAAATTTAATTCTAACCACTCACATGTATCCAGTTAAGATTTATGGAGCTCTACCTTCATAGTCTGATGCTTAGGCTCAAGGAAATTTTGCATTTGCCGTATTGATATTAGGGACAGCCATGTTGTGTTGTGCAAGGCCGTGGTCTAGGCAACACGGAGTTTTCCTCCGGGGGGCTTCCCCGGTTTCTCCGTGGCATCCCTACAATTACTCCATTCACACACAGAAGAAGGCAATGGCAAACCACTTCTGGATCATCTGCCAAGAACGTATATGAACAGGTCCCAGTCCGAGAAAAGGATGGAAGGATCCTGTTCATATGGACCTGTCGTCAGACAGAACACTAAATAAATAAATAAAAAATGTTCGTATGCAGTTAGGCAGGTCTGCCCTTCCAACTGTAACAAACCACTGTACCTACAAGAAAGTTGTTTATGTTATCAAGCCTGCTAGAGAATCTGTCCGACAAATAAAGCTCTTAATAATACACGACTACTTGTAACTTCCATTCAAACTTTTAGGTGTTGAGACAAAAATGTCTGTTACCGGTGAGGTCATAAGAAACAAAGTTATTACTTCCGCAGATAATAAAGGAGACGAAATACGCAGCCCAAAAAACATTGTTCCAAAAACAAAAAATAATTCAAAACTGCATTTAATTCTTTGCCTTTAATTTCAGAAGCGCTTTATAATAGCTCGGTCCGTTTTAGTCTGTCCGACATTCTTTCTTTCTGATACAACTCGAGAAAGAGTAAACTGTTTTTTGTCGGAATATAGAAACATACAAAAAAATCAAAACAATAAAATTATTTTGTTTTCTGTACAAATTGTTTTGGACACCGCTATCTTCGCCACTTTACAGTTGACGCAGTAAGTCAGTCACCTAACATTCAGTCTGCATTAACCTCTCAGCCTACTTCCACACACCTTCAGCTTGCAGTGTGGCTGACAGATATTGTGGCACAAAGAAGCTCTATTTGGGATGCATTCATCAAGTGTCAGGAGACGTTATTCACGCCGCATGATAAAAGGGAGCTCTTTGGTACATTGAACAACGAAGTATCACACCTGTTCTACAATATGACAACTGAAATGACATTCCCCTGCTTCAAGCCCTCCCCTCACTGCTGAGTAGTGGTAATAATGGGTCCCAGTTCCTGGTTTCCTGGGTGGGGCACGTCGGAACGCGATAAAAGGGACAAAGATTTCAATTGTGAAAAAGCGAGGAAGCTTATTTGGTGTATTATTCATTTAATAGTCAGTATTGAGTAGGGTGTGGAGTACACTAATCCGGCTACACGAAAAATAAAATTATTTTGCTGAAATTAATTAAAGATTATGTATGTTATAATAATGTTCATTTATAATAATAAAAAAACAGTACTTAGGGAATTGTCAAAATTTGAATTTATATTTAAAGTTGAAAATATACAACAATATTCCAAACTTATTTACATATAAATAACTCATATGTTAATTAATTTATTCACAGAATAATGGAAAACAAACATAAGATACATAAAATAAGAAGATCAACAGAACACATACTATAATAATTTACAAAACAGATGAATAAATGAAAAACTTGCATTGTAATATAAAGTAGTTTTAAAGGAAAAACCTGAAGATGATGCTACGCATCGAAACATGTAGTAAATGAAGGCGCAGTATTGTAACATCGTAGTAACGATGAATAGCGCAAATTTTAAATTTTAACATCTGTAAATAAAGTTTGTGTATAGACCTGAATTATATTATATATTTTAATTTGAATTTATATGTTATGCAAACGTGTGGAATACGGAATACAAGCGAGAATTATTCTACTAAAAACCAGACGTTTAACGATCCTTATGTTTACGAGAATTATTGGGCATTTGAGGTTTTCACGGTGGTAAAGTTTGGGTTGTGATCTGGGTTGTGAGGTCATGCAAATGGTTAGTAATGGATCAGAGACCCACTCTAACATTTAGAAACAAACGTTGGTAACCACCTACAAGACTGTACGGAGTCATAACGTAGAAGAACACAATTCATAAACGTTTATTAGAGTTTGACACATATTCATTGAGCATTTTAAAGACGTTTGGAATTCAATGTTGAATTTAGGCTACTTTTACATACAGTTGGAACCGATACATTTTTTTATGAGTTAGTTCATTTAAAAATATCCGATTTTTATTACAGAACAAACTCGTACTTCTCTAATAGCACTGAGTTTTGTGTTCCAGCAATTTGTACCCTGAGTAATAGCCCAAATTAATGTGAGGTTAGGTAGGCTTTAGGTTAGGTCTTTGACAAGATAGTGATGTCCACTCCTCTTGTAGGGAATTTAACGACGACAATCCATTCGCTTTCCGTCACTTCACTGCCACAGTCTTTATTTCGAGTGTAGAAAGTTCGTATATTTAACATACTTTTATTGTCAAAAATGAGAGAAGAGAATTTATTTCACTTTTTACAAAGAAAACTAAAGATTGAAAGAAGTTTTGCCTTCAACAAGACATATCACATTGTTCCACTCCATATTAAGTTAATTCAGGTCAGAATATCCCGTGTATGGATTCCACGGGCAAATCTCTAGAGCAGGCGACAAATTCGAGACAATGTACGATACAACAAACAACTGAGATATCAATCTCTTTATGCATGTATAAACCCTGTTACAATAGAGAGATCTCTAAGCTGGACTAAATTTTATCTACGTATTGTGTAAGAGATTTGCTTGTATCAAGGTGTTGTTGAAGGAACATAGGGGCCTGCCAGAGTGCGGAGGACTGGGGCGACTATTAGCACAAATAAGCCACCCACCCATTCCATGCGTCGTCGAGGGTGGACGACAGTTACTAATTCAGCCACCGTTTGCGTTCGTTTGAGGGCATTGTCTAAGGGTCACGTAACTCCGACCGGCTATTGTTCTCGTCCACTGGGCGCGCACACAAACACACACAGGACATACCGAGAGTCGCGATTCAAGCTCTGGAAATAAATTAAATAAAGCTGGAGTTTTTGTTTTTCATGAAGCTGTTTTGTGTTAGGTTTACTCAGTGTTCCTCCGTGTCACCCAAGTATATCTGTACTCGTCACTCATAAAATATAATTTTCAGTGGTCATTATACTGTTGCAAAGAATTATTTGTTTTAAGAGCATAATAAATATCTGTCGACCTAGAATAAATTAATTAATGTCTAAACTTGAGGATGGATGGGTGACTGCATGCTTTGGTAGATGAGTAAGTGGATGGATTGGTGAACATACTGGAGGCATTCTGCTCGCCGCGTTCTCTGGTGATATGAGAGACATCTACATGGCTAAATCAGAGTGCATTGTAAATAAGAATGGAAAGGTGACTCTGGAGCACCCGAAAATTATGTAAGTGTTCTTCACGCCACACAATGAGCGACGATGTCAGCAGAACAGCTAATAAAATAAACAAATGCTATCAAAGGCAACTATTGTATTCAAGGTCACTGTTGAAACTATATTTTTCAAGGAACTATTGTAACAGTATCCTCGAAGGGCATTGCTAAAACCATGTGATGAAACACCAGGCAGGCAGAGAGACAGTCAGACATTCATAGACAGGCTTATAAAGTGTCTTTCGTTTACGCTTAATCGCAAAGAACGCCTTACTCGCCCGAAATGTAATAACTGCAAAACGCAGTTAATCTTCTGCACGATTCACAGTTTTGGAAATTGTATAAGAAACTTTACAAAGAATGTAGTAATACTGTATTTGTTCTCGATTTGCTACAAATTTTTTCCTTAAGTGTGTAGTTCTTTCGAACAAAACATAATTTAAACAGAATCATAAGCGTAGGAATGTCAGTGTAATTTATAAAGAACGCGTCTCATGTTTCCGTTGGTAAATATTAAAGCAGAGTGCCAACTACACGTACAACCTGCTTTGACATTTAGGAACTGCGCATTTCCCCCATAGAATGTACTTAGACTTTCGCGTGATTACTAAAATAAACAGCGATTACTTACGTAAACATCATTAACCACTGATGTTTGAAATGGTGACACGTTGTGTTTTCTTTGCGGCAGGAACTGAATTCTTAAATATTATTAAGAAAATATTTATTCATGAAAGTCTTATTACGGCAAAATTATTTCGCTTTAGCTCTGGACTAAGCAACATTCTCTTTAAAACAAGTAGAAACATACTCAAAGACATTCACAGAAAAAGAACTGAGGTGTAAATTTCACGGCGTCTCACTGCACATCGCGAATATTGACCATCTTCTGATCCAGTTCCTCCAGGTCTGGACGATGTCCGCCCTCATACAGTTCCCTGTTTTTGCCGCAGGGCGCTGCACATGAAGGAGCATCCGGACTACAAATATCGTCCCAGGAGGAAACCGAAGTCCCTCATGAAAAAAGAACCAAAGTTCGGGTTCTCTCTTTCGCCGCTTCTGTCATCAGCAATGGAGCCTCTCCATGGCATTCCTCGGTCACTGCTCCCTCCGTTACCAGTGCCTCCCCCGGGCCCCCACCCTCCCCCGCATCCTCTCTTCGGAGGAGACTCCGACCTTAAGTTCCCGCGGTCTTTATTCCCGCCATTTCCATACCCCCTTTACCCGCTTCATCACGCAGCAAAGCTCCATGCGGAAGACCTGGCCTCCACTTCAGGAGGCGGGAAGACGGCGGCTGACCTGCCGTGCAGCTGTGGGCCCACCACCGTGACGCCGACAGCTAGCGAGGCAGCGCAGAGGTCGCCCACACCAGACGCCGGCATCAAGCGTCCTGTGGCTTATCTGCTTGTGAAACCCGAGGACCATTACGCAGGGTCTGCGGCCGCGTCTCAGCACGTTATCTGAAGACCGCTCCCGGTTCTCCCGGACTCGGCACGGGGGAATCTGGGGGGGTTGCTATCTGCCGGGACTGACTGTGGGGCCGCGATGGGGTGGTGGGGACTTCACGGACAGTTGCCATCCACCTCCACAACCACTTCTTCAGCACCCGCTGCCTCTGGGACTGCTGACGACCAGGATGAGCGTCCGAGCTCAACAAACAGCAGTCAGTAGAATCGATATTCAGAACGGTATCGATAGTATCGCGATAGAAATAAGCGAGGTAACTAGTCAATTCTACACCTGAGAGGGCTTAAAGCCAACATGAATGTGTACGATTTGATAATAATAAGAAATTGCTATTTCCAAACTGGGGCGGTCCTTTCATAACGGAGTCCATATTGAGGCAAATCCGGCGACAACAGGGCTAGCGGATCATGAGCCTACAAACTGCTTTTTCAGTTTTGCTTAACGCGTATGTCAAATTATAACTCACTGTATGATTACATTTTTATCTATTTTCATGCCGTGCTTTAGTAACTCGGGCTATTTTAATTTTTCCTAATTTGTAAATACAAAATACTGACTTCATCAGCACATGCTTGATGAAAATTATTATGCTTAATATATTACACTTCTTATGACACACCCGTTTGTATCTATATTTAAAAGAAAATAATTGTAACAAAATCTGCATTTAATATTTACCTGATGTCCAACTTCATTGACTTCGAACAGATTTTTCGAATCTGATGATGGCCACATTAAGTTTAATCATGTAGTCAAAAGAATAGATCGTTAACAATAAGTGTGTGAAGGTGACCGGTAAGAATCAAAAATTCAACTCAACACGCCAGGATGCAACATTATAGACCTCAATATGCTTTGTGATTTAGGGGTCCAGAAAAATAATTTAGGTTTTCGGTAAGATCATTTGGAGCAGAAAACAAAATATTTTTTATTTTGATTTGCTATCGTGTTCGAGCTGAAACGTAGTTATGTTATGTATATTTTATTATTGTGATTGTCGATTTTTACAAAATGGAAACACTTTGCTTTAACATAACATATCAATGAACTTCCTTGTTTGCAGTAAAAAAATTAAAGAAATTTCTACATTTTGTAGCAATTTTGAATTATCACTTTAGAGTATTATTTTCGGTTCGTGTGGAGGAGACTCGCCAGTCTTTTTATCGGTACTGTCTGTCTGAGCGAAGAATTGACTCGACCTTGAAGCCGTGACGTCATGATAAATGCTGTCCTGAAAACATTGCCCCTTGCCAAAAATATTTCCAGTTTTGGAGCATTCTGCATGATATTTGATACAATGGGTATGTTACCAGTGGTCCAACTAATATACTTAATTATATATGAACTATGAAATACAAAAATAGGATAATGAGACGAAATACTAAAACGTTAGAAAACTAAAGGAGAACTGATGTTTCTATACAGCGTTATAGAATGCCTGTGATCGTGCGCAGATAAATACTTCTGCTTGAAGGTCGAGTCAATTCTTTGCTCAAACAGACAGTTCTATTGTCCGAATCTGATAACTGTCCCTGTCAAAAGATCACAATGATACAATACGACATGAACGTAAGTAATTCACTCGGCAAAGTTGGCCAATTTGAAAAACGTTATTTACATTTTCGACTCCCAGTGATCTCTCCAGCAACTTCCTTCATTATTGTACCTGAGTTCTTAATTACTCTGTATAGATCCTAATGCTGAGGAGAATAATTTCACGTGAGGCTGTCTCACCCTGCATTAAATGTTTTGAAAATCTGACGCCCGGTATAAAATTAATAATGGTGAAAGAAATCACCAGCTTGTTATTAACAAATGAACTACATAAAAGTTGTCTCTACTTATTCCGATATTTATTTTTATTATGTGGTTACATCAAATCTAATATTTTTAATTTGAGTCTTATCCAAATTAAATACTAGTAAATTAATTTATAAGCGTTTCATAATCCGATAGAGGAATTAGGCTGAGGTCGACTGGAGTAGTTGCCCCCGGAGGCGTCAAAATCGAAAGTTGCACGAGTTCATTTACCTCATATATTGTAATCGTCCTTTTAGCACGGTTTTAATTGAAGGAAATGCCGAGGAATTCGTTGGCAGAAAAGCGTTCTAACCATGTTGTCCCCTGACTACACTTATGTCTGATTTTGAAAAGTCGACGAGGTAATACGTAACAGTGCATTTTATTTATGTCAATTCCAATAATATTATTGCTTCACAATTTCTTCTCGATGTTATCGATACCGGTATTTTACAACTGGTGCAAAGAATCGAGAGGTCGGTAGAATGCGATGAGTGATTTTGCGCGAACTGAGCACTAGAATTCAAATATCCACAAGAATTTATTTCCTGGTTGATGTTTATGACAACTCGCACTGGGTATTTCTTTGCAACTGAAGTGAAATAAACAGTTAGTGTGTGAAAGTTACATGAATCTGGGTATTTCTTTGCAACTGAAGTGAAGTAAACAGTTAGCGTGTGAAAGTTACATGAAATGTTCATAAATCTCCGTATATTCATCTTTTTGTTCAGTACCTCTCGATTGTTCTCCCACACTAACTATCAAAATCAATCACGAATAATCGATCAAAATAATTTTATCGATCAATGAAACAACAGATATAATTACTATCATTTAACGAAGAAAGAAGAACACGTTCGGTGAGAAAATTATATTTTCTTCGCGTACCGAGTTGTATGAAACATTTTATTAATTTATGTTTAAAGACATGACAAAATATAATATTTTGTACAGTACTGTGGCGAAGTTCTACATATCAGAACACTATAAATCTACTACTAAGTCGGTGTAACGAGTGTTATTTTACTGATTGTTTATGTTACATTTTGCAAGAAGTACTTCGTAGTATAAAACGGGTATGATATTGTGGGTTTTGGTATCAGTCAGTTAACTTGGACAATACAGTTTATGAATACAACACTTTCTGAAGACGTTTACTTCTGTGGTGTTATGAAAAATGAAAGATTAGAACTGTTACCTCGGAAAAGTAGGTCTTATTTATCCAGAATAAAATTATTCTTCATAGACGTGATTTTATCAGTCATACAAAAATATCTCCATTAGTATCTAATTTAGTAAAATATTTTATGTAAACTCATTTCTGTTTGTTGCATAATTGTGAAATTAGTATGTCAAAATATTTGCTCTCTTAAAGTTGTGTTCACACAGTCGAATATATTGTCAGTGATATAATATAAGATATTCTCATATAAAATATGTTATATTACTTTTATCTTTATATCATCGAATGTTTCATTTCACTTTTTGTGGTATAACATCAGTTATAGAAATAAATTATAAACGAAGTAGAATCCTTTCTTAACTCTTCAGGATATTTTACATTCCATTTGTCAGTTCAACTTTAGTCGCCAAAAATTTAAATGTTTATGTGGTTTGATTCAATGTCATTATCGTCTTGCAGAAACTGGGTGTCAGTGAGAAACACGCAGCACAGTGAATATAAATTGGCGTTTTATATTTATAACTATAAAGTTCATACCGTTTAGTTTATAAAGTAATATTATATGCCATTCTGAGTTTACGTTGAGAAACTTGAAATATATGATTGTGTGAATACAGCTTAAGATTACTTAAAAATTAGTTAATGATTTAAATCATTAAACTTCCAATTAGAAGGACCAAAAATTATATCAATTTATTCATGATAGTATTTACTTTCTGGTGTTCTAAACATCTGTGTTTGTGTTTCGAAATACGAAAATATTATCAAGGGTTGTAAATATGCAGAAGAAACGTAGAACTTTACTTCTTTACACATTCGTTGCACAAAGTGGTCCTTTTCTTTGCTGATATGTGAAGGAACTAGTAAACATTTAAACAGTGTATTTTACGATGTAAAAATTATCAGTTACCTACTTGTCCTGAGTTCATGTTCTTACACAGTATTAATACACTGCTGAATTCTTATAAATTATTTTTTCTAAAGGTTATTATTAGTATTAAAACAATATTAATTTTGTATCTAAATATATAGGAACGAATTTAATTAATTTTTACATAGGAACAATATATTCTGTTTGTCTAATATAAACCCTTGCTTCATCTTGCGAACAAAATAATCTTACCAACTTCGTTAAATAGTCCAAATTTGTGCACTGGAATACGAGATTTTTGTCACCTGCCAGATAATTGTCAGAGAATTAATTACAATAACTTACAATTACGTATGTAGGCATATAAATACAGAATGAGGCGGAAAGACTAAGTAAAACCGTCACATCTTCGCGCCCAATCAGTAATAAGTAGTGGTTAAAGCTTATATAAAGATATTTATACAAATTTAACTACTTTAAATTCCGACAAATAGGCAAAATTTAAAATTTTAACATGTTATAACCAGCCATTTTTGTCATCCATTCTCAACAAAAATTGATATTAATTTCCAAAAATTCTTTAAAGACTGCAAGGTTCTTACAATTTTTTACACTTGCGAATAAAATTGGTGAAAACACATTTGTAAAACACAACATTTGATTATAAACTTAAATACAGATATGGGACTATAAATATGTATAAAACATATACATTAATAGCATTCTGTTCAATAATTGAGAGATATCGTATTTCCTCTATTTTAAGATGCACTTTTTTCGCGTTTTAAATTTTCTTACGTTTGATAGCGTCTAATAATCGATGTTGAAAATGTATGTTGTATGATTTAAGCGCAAGGAAAGCCATTTCTATAACACGAGTCAGCACTGGAACAGTAAACACAAACCAAAGAAAATTCTGGAATTATCAATGCAAAGAAGTTTTATGTTTAAATGTTGACAGTTCCTGTTCTAATGCAAGTATTTTTTTCGTGAAAACCCATTACTAAATCAAGAGTGCGTTTTGCAGTCAATGGCATTTTAAAATCGAGGAAATACGATATATCCATTCTGATAACGTTCTATAAAAAATGTTTTTATAAATTAAATATATGCTTATTTAAGACAAATTTGTCACATATTCTG